AACATGGTGAAACCCCATCTCTACTAAAAATACAAAAAAAAATTAGCTGGGCATGATGGTGCATTCCTGTAGTCCCAGCTACTCGGGAGGCTGAGGCAGGAGAATCACTTGAACCCAGGGGGTGGTTGCAGTGAGCTGAGATGGCACCACTGCTCTCCAGCCTAGGTGACAGAGTGAGACTCCATCTCAAAAAAAAAAAAGAAAAAAAGAAAAAGAAAAGTAATAGAGGAGTTCAGAAGCAGAGATACATTACTGTTGGCTGGTAGGTAGCATGGCTGTGATTAAATTTAAACTGAATGATTATGAAACCCAAATGAAATAACTTACGTGAAAAGTTCTTAAAATAATAAGGTATATAAATGTAACTGATGTTTTACCAAACAAAATGGAGCAGAGTGCTTTGGGTGAAAGAAGGGGGACTGTTTTGATATGCTGATGGCATAATTATTATAAAGAATGTCTCAGAACTTTAGTTTTCCTATTAGTACTGCTTGAAGCCTTCAAATTGATACAGCTGTCAATCGCTTTTCTAAGTGGAGATAATGGTGGATCTGATCTCTCCTCTTTTGTTCTTGCAGCTCTATTACCAAGTCCTAAATTTTGGAATGATTGTCTCATCGGCACTAATGATCTGGAAGGGATTAATGGTAATAACTGGAAGTGAAAGTCCAATTGTAGTGGTGCTCAGGTAACAGTTTTTCTTTTCAAGGCGTGGAATTTCATGGTATTACTTGGGAGGAAAAGTGACATACGAAATAACTGGTATATCATCCCCTTAGAAACTACTCTTTTCCAGAAAAGGGCCTGGAAGAAAATTGGTCACTATTTCTCAATTGTAGGAAATTTTCAGGCTGGGTGCGGTAGCTTATGCCTATAATCCCAGCACTTTAGGAGGTTGAAGCAGGTGGATGACTTGAGCTCTGGAATTTGAGACTAGCTTGGACAATGTGGTGAAACCTGTCTCCACAAAAAATACAAAAATTAGCGGTGTGGTAGCATGGACCTGTAGTCTTAACTACTCGGGAAGGTGAGGTAGGAGGATTGCCTGAGCCCTAGAGGTTGAGGCCTGCAGTGATTTGTGATTGCACCACTGCACACTCCAACCTGGGCAACAGAGCAAGACTCTGTCTCCAAAAAAAAAAAAAAAAAGAAAGAAAAAAGAAATTCTCACTTTGTTAGGCATTCCATTCAGAACCCCAAAGGGTTCATGACCTTACTACAAAAAGGTTACCATGTGAGGTTTGTTTCTGGCACATCCCTTAAGAAATTGTCTCATTATACTTTATTTTCCTGAAATTCTTCTGTCTTTTTATATTCCTTACTTTGATACACCAGGCCTGATATTTAGTTGTTAGTTCATTAGATGTTATAGTACTTCCACAAATTAAGAATTTTTCTGCAGTATGTTTTCAATTTCAGTACAGAAGCATCACTAATTATTTCCAAGTTTCCTGCTGACCTTTAAATATCACTTCTAAACTAGACTCCCGGAATTTTGAAGGCATTAATACCACCTCTTATGGTAACAACTAGTACTGAATTTCTTTTCTCTACTCTGCTTCCTTCCCTATCTTTGCACTCATACTCTTAGTGAATATTTTTGATAGGCTCTTGCTCTGTTGCCCAGGAGCATGCAGTGGCATAGTCATAACTCACTGCAGCCTCCACCTACCAGTCTCAAGGGATCCTTCCCAAGCAGCTGAGACTGCAGGGCTGCACCACCATGCCTGGTTAATTTTGTAAATTTTTTGCAGAGACAGTGTATTAGTCCATTTTCATGCTGCTGATGAAGACATACCCGAGACTGGGCAGTTTACAAAAGAAACAGGTTTAATGAACTTACAGTTCCACGTGACTGGGCAGGCCCCAAAATCATGGTGGAAGGTGAAAGGCACATCTCACATGGGAGCAGACAAGAGACGAGAGCTTGTGCAGGGAAACTCCCCTTTTTAGAACTATCAGATCTTGTGAGACTTAATTCACTATCACAAGAACAGCACAGGAAAGATCCACCCCCATGATTCAATTACCTCCCACTAGGTCCCTCCCACATATGTGGGAATTCAAGATGAGATTTAGGTGGGGACACAGCCAAACTATATCAGACAGGCTCTCACTGTGTTGCCCAGGCTGGTCTTGAACTTCTGGGTTCAAGCAGTCCTCCCACTTTGGCCTCCCAATGTGCTGGGATTACAAGTGTGAGCCACCATGCCCAGCACTCTCAGTGATTTTAAAACCTAATTCAGTAACTCATTTTTGGAGAATTGCCGCTTGACTGTTTAGTTGAAACATTATAGGCTGGGCGTGGTGGCTCACGCCTGTAATCCCAGCACTTTAGGAGGACAAGGTGGGCAGATCACTTAAGGCCTGGAGTTTGAGACCACCGTGGCCAACATGGTGAAATCCCGTCTCTACTAAAAATACAAAATTTAGCTGGGCATGGTGACAGGTGCCTGTAGTCCCAGCTACTTGGTAGGCTGAGGTAGAAGAAGCCCTTGAACCTGGGAGGTGGACGTAGCAATGAGATTGCGCCATTGCACTCCATCCTGGGTGATGAGCGAAACTCCTCTCAAAAAAAAGAAGAAATATTATAGTTCTGTCATATTTTGCGCTTAATTTTTTAAGCCCAAATCCTTTCAGGAGATAATGGAGTGCAGATTTAAAATAAATTGAATTATGAACGTTATCTGGAATCTAAGTAATAGTACTTAGATTACTCTTTTTTAACTAAGTTATTGAGATATGATTGACATACAACAAGCTGTACATATTTAATGTATACAGCCTGATTAATTTGGAAGTCAGTATATTCCTCTGAAACCATCACCACAATCAAGTAAATGAATATATTCATCACTTTTGAAAGTTTCCTCCCTCTCTCTTTATTTTTTTGTGATAAGAACATTTAACCCAAGGCCTCCCTCCATTGCCTAAACTGGAGTGTACCATCACAACTGGCTAATTTTTTATTTTTTTACAGAGTCTGAATCTTGAATTCCTGATCTCAAGTGATCCTCCCACCTTAACCTCCCACATCTGGGATGACAGGCTTGAGCCACCGTGCCCAGCTCCCTGTTTCTTTCCTTTTCTTTTCTTTTATAAAAAGGCAGGGGAATGTGATGCATGTGCTGCTGCTGAACACTCGTTTCTTTTATTCATTTATTCATTTTTCTTCTCTTTTTATTTTTTGAGACAGGCCCTCACTCTGTTGCCCAGGCTGTAGTACACCTAGCTATTTTTTTTTTTCTTTCTTTCTTTCTTTTTTTTTTTGAGACAGAGTTTCGCTCTTCTTGCCCAGGCTGGAGTGCAATGGCACTTTCTTGGCTCACCACAGCCTCCACCTCCCGGGTTCAAGTGATTTCCTGCATTAGCCTCCCAAGTAGCTGGGATTACAGGCGTGCGTCACCATGCCCAGCTAATTTTCGTATTTTTAGTTGAGACTGAGTTTCACCATGTTGGCCAGGCTGGTCTCGAACTCCTGATTTCAGGTGACCTGCCCACCTCAGCCTTCCAAAGTGCTGGGATTACAGGTGTGAGTGGCAGGCCAAGATTTTTTTAAAAGTTCCTTAGGTCACTGGGCGCGGTGGCTCAAGCCTGTAATCCCAGCACTTTGGGAGGCTGAGGCTGGTGGATCACGAGGTCGAGAGATCGAGACCATCCTGGTCAATATGGTGAAACCCCGTCTCTACTAAAAATACAAAAAAATTAGCTGGGCATGGTGGCACGTGCCTGTAATCCCAGCTACTCAGGAGGCAGGAGAATTGCCTGAACCCAGGAGGCGGAGGTTGCGGTGAGCCGAGATCGCGCCATTGCACTCTAGCCTGGGTAACAAGAGCGAAAACTCCGCCTCAAAAAAAAAAAAAAAAAAAAAAAGTTCCTTAGGTCATTCCAGTGTGCAGCATTGAGAACCACTGCCATATCCCTTTAGAGGGAGGAAGGTCTTTTAACAAAAGTGTTTGGATTTTGTCCTTATTCCCGCATTGAATTTTTATTTCCTGTCTTTCTATTCTTATCTAAGCAGTTGCTATTGAAAACTGGAGCTTGAGTTCCTGAAAAATACTGATGGGCTACTTCTTTGTAGAAAAAAAGGGTTTATAAATTAGTGCAAGTATCTTAGGACCTTTTTAGGACTTGGCATAGGATAGAAGAAGTAAGAGGTAAGAAGATACTCTGTAAAAGTTAGTCTCACTTATTACCATAAAATTAAATCTTTTCCTGGCTTCTGAAATTCTTAGGCAAAAATCTCTGCTTATTCCTTGGTTTTCTTTTTTTTTCTTTTTAAAATAAGTAAATTGATAATACAAGCGTTATCTCTGTGGCTGACAGTTCTTTGACTTGATGAGCTGTTTTTCCTTTTAAATGAGTTGAACCTATAAGGTCATCTCGGCTGTTATCTTTATAAATGGCAGAGGAATATGATCTACTTCTTATTTGCATATTTGAATATGTTTAGTGTTTTCAGATGAAGTGAGAATAAGGGCATTATATTTTTAAAGTTCATTCTCTTTTATATTGTTTGTCATTTGAAATTTTAAAAGGTTAAGGAATTAGTAACACTGACCTTTTCAAGATTTAAGCTTCTTTGAATAGTAATGCTTGAACTGGAACTAGTTAGTGAAGGTTAATAATTTTTTTTAAAAAAATCCTTTGGTGTAACTTTAGTCTCAGGAAACCATATTTTAAGAACAATACACATTTATGTTGATGTAGTTATTCAGATACTGAGTATACTCCAAAAGTGGTATTTTAAAATTTTGTTGAATATCTAATTTTGAAAGTACATTTAATCTCATACTTTCTTTTTGCTAATATATTTTTCTTTCTCTCCCAGTGGCAGCATGGAACCTGCATTTCATAGAGGAGATCTTCTCTTTCTAACAAACCGAGTTGAAGATCCCATAAGAGTGGGAGAAATTGTTGTTTTTAGGATAGAAGGAAGAGAAATTCCTATAGTTCACCGAGTCTTGAAGATTCATGAAAAGTATGTGCAAATATATCATCTTTCTTTCTAAGTACTTTCGTTTAAGTGTTTGTGGTATTTAGTTTTGATAGCCTAAAGATTGTGACAGAGTGAGGAACCTCTAGGCCCTTCATCCAGTTCATTTTTATGAATGTTTGAAAATGTGATGAACATTTTGAAAACTAAATAATTGCTCTTTGCACAGTAGTGCTAGCGGCTTCGCGTTTTGGTCCTCGGACCCGGCAGCTGCTTTTGGTGCTAAGCTGCTAGGAAGCCCTCTCGGCAAGCTCGTTGGAACTTGAACCCATTGTCACCCCTCCGACTCACTGACAGAAAAAAAAAAAAAAAAAAAATGGTTGAAGCAGATCGCCCAGGAAAGCTCTTCATTGGTGGGCTTAATACGGAAACAAATGAGAAAGCTCTTGAAGCAGTATTTGGCAAATATGGACGAATAGCGGAAGTACTCTTGATGAAAGACCGTGAAACCAGCAAATCAAGAGGATTTGCTTTTGTCACCTTTGAAAGCCCAGCAGATGCTAAGGATGCAGCCAGAGACATGAATGGAAAGTCATTAGATGGAAAAGCCATCAAAGTGGAACAAGCCACCAAACCATCATTTGAAAGTGGTAGATATGGGCCACCTCCACCTCCAAGAAGTAGAGGCCCTCCAAGAGGTCTTAGAGGTGGAAGAGGAGGAAGTGGAGGAACCAGGGGACCTCCCTCACAGGGAGGACACATGGATGACAGTGGATATTCCATGAATTTTAACATGAGTTCTTCCAGGGGACCACCCCCAGTAAAAAGAGGACCAGCACCAAGAAGTGGGGGTCCTCCTCCTAAGAGATCTGCACCTTCAGGACCAGTTTGCAGCAGCAGTGGAATGGGAGGAAGAGCTCCTGTATCACTTGGAAGAGGTAGTTACGGAGGTCCACCTCGAAGAGAACTGCTGCCTTCTCGTAGAGATGTTTATTTGTCCCCAAGAGATGATGGGTATTCTACTAAAGACAGCCATTCCAGCAGAGATTACCCAAGTTCTCGTGATACAAGAGATTATGCACCACCACCACGAGGTTATACTTACCATGACTATGGTCATTCCAGTTCACGTGATGACTATCCATCAAGAGGCTATAGCAATAGAGATGGATATGGTCGTGATCATGACTATTCAGATCATCCAAGTGGAGGTTCCTACAGAGATTCACGTAAGGAATCTTGAGAGTTATGGTAACTCACGTAGTACTCCATCTACACGAGGGCCCCTGCCATCTTATGGTGGAAGCAGTCACTATGATGATTACAGCAGCTCACGTGACGGATATGGTGGAAGTCAAGAAAGTTACTCAAGCAGCCAAAGTGATCTCTACTCAAGTGGTAGTGATCAGGTTGGCAGACAAGAAAGAGGGCTTCCCCCTTCTATGGAAAGGGGGTACCCTCCTCCACATGATTCCCACAGCAGTTCAAGCCGCGGAGCACCAAGAGGTGGTGGCCATGGAGGAAGCCGATCTGATAGAGGGGGAGGCAGAAGCAGATACTAGAAACAAAACTTTGGACCAAAATCCCAGTTCAAAGAAACAAACAAAAAATGGAAACTATTCTGTCATAACTACCCAAGGACTACTAAAAAGAAAAATTGTGTTACCTTTTTTAAATTCCCTGTTAAGTTCCCCTCCATAATTTTTATGGTCTTGTGAGGAAAAAAGTAAAACATGTTTAGTATTATTTGACTGTATGACATTGCTTTTCAACAAGCAAATGTTAAATGTGTTAAGACTTGTTGTACTAGTGTTGTAACTTTCCAAGTTAAAGTGTCCCTAAAGGCTACTTCCTATATGATTTTTCCTAGTAAGTGAGGCAAGAAATTCTAAGATCTTCCACAAAACATCTAGCCATGTAAAACGGAGAGATGAATCATTCTGTTTATACAAACAAACTAGCTATTAGAGGGTAGTTGGGGTATGCTACTCATAAGATTTCAGGGTGTCTTCCAACTAAAACCTCCATGATCTCAGTACGAAAAACCTGAAATCAGATGCCTATGTAAGGACGTAATCACCTAGTAAACCCAAAAATGCAAATGGATAATGCTGGCCATTTTGCCTTTCTGACATTTCCTTGGGAATCTGCAAGAACCTTCCTTTTCCCCTCCCCCAATAAGACCATTTAAGTATGTGTTAAACAACTACGGAATACTAAATAAAAAGTTTGGCCAAAACCAAAATAAAAAAAGAAAACTGTAAATAATTATGTATTATTAGTTCATTTATTTCCCTGAAAGTTTTTCCAGAGGTTCTTTTTTCTTTCTTTTTTTTTTTTTTTTTGAGACGGAGTTTCACTCTTGTTACCCAGGCTGGAGTGCAATGGCGCAATCTCGGCTCACCGCAACCTCCGCCTCCTGGGCTCAGGCAATTCTCCTGCCTCAGCCTCCTAAGTAGCTGGGATTACAGGCACACGCCACCATGCCCAGCTAATTTTTTGCACCTTTAGTAGAGACAGGGTTTCACCATGTTGACCAGGATGGTCTCGATCTCTCGACCTTGTGATCCACCCGCCTCAGCCTCCCAAAGTGCTGGGATTACAGGCTTGAGCCACCGCGCCCAGCCTCCAGAGGTTCTTCTTGGTTCCCTTTTACTTCCCAACCTGTCAGTGACTGTATATAATTCTAAAAAAATTATGACATAAAGAGCGATCCTAAATAGAATCTTCTGGTTGGGAACAGTGGCTCACGCCCACAATCCCAGTACTTTGGGAGGCCAAAGTGAGAGAATGGCTTGAGCCCAGGAGTTGGAGATCAGCCTGGGCAACATGGTGAGACTCCTTCTCTATTTAAAAAAAAAAAAAAAAAAAGGGCCAGGCACGGTGGCTCACACCTGTAATCCCAGCACTTTGAGAGGCCGAGACAGGTGGATCACGAGGTCAAGAGATCGAGACCATCCTGGTCAACACGATGAAACCCCGTCTCTACTAAAAATACAAAAATTAGCTGGGCATGGTGGTGCATTCCTGTAGTCCCAGCTATTCAGGAGGCTGAGGCAGGAAGGAGAATTGCTTGAACCCAGGAGGCGGAGGTTGCGGTGAGCCGAGGTCGCGCCATTGCACTCCAGCCTGGGTAACAAGAGCGAAACTCCGTCTCAAAAAAAAAAAAAAAAAAAAGGATGGGCATGGTGGCTTACATCTGTAATCCCAGCACTTTGGGAGTCTGAAGCAGGCAGAGCACCTGAGGTGAGGAGTTTGAGACCAGCCTGGCCAACATGGTAAAACCCTGTCTCTACTAAAATGCAAAAATTAGCCAGGTGTGGTGGCAGGCACCTGTAGTCCCAGCTACTCAGAGGACTGAGGCAGGAGAATCACTTGAACCGGGAGGTAAAGGTTGCAGTGAGCTGAGATTGCACCACTGCACTCTAGGCTGGGCAACAGAGCCAGACTCAGTCTCAAAAAAACAAAAAATAAGCTGGGCATAGTGGCATGTGCCTGTTTGGGAGCTAATTGGAAGGCCGAGGTGGAAGGATTGTGTGATCCCAGGAGTTTGAGGCTGCAGTGAGCCATGTTTGTGCCACTGCATTCCAGCTTGGGCAACAGAGTACAACCCTGTCTCAAAAAAGGAAAAAGAAAGAAATGAAAGAAAAGGGAGGCACCCTAGAGGACACATAGATGGGAAGTGGGAAGTGAAAGAGTAGGCAGAATAGGCATCATTTCGGTTCCTTTTTTTTTTTTGAGATTGTTTCCTTCTGTTACCCAGGCTGGAATGCAATGTAGCTATCTTGGCTCACTGCAACCTCCACCTCCCAGGCTTAAGCGATTCTCCTCCCTCAGCCTCCTGAGTAGCTGGGATTACAGGCATGTGCCACCATGCCCAGCTAATTTTTGTATTTCAGTAGAGACAGGGTTTCACCATGTTGCCCAGGCTGGTCTCAAACCCATGACCTTAAGTGATCTGCCCAACTTGGCCTTCTAAATTGCTGGGATCACAGGCATAAACGACTGCACCTAGCAGATTTTAGTTCTTGGATTTGTGGAAGCCTTCTGTAAATAGTATTTTTACCACCCTATAAAATAGTTTTTTTCTTCCACTTAAAGAAGAGGAAACTGTCAACCATTGTTTTTTGAAATACCTGTAAACATTCTAGAAGAATTATTTCTTCATTGGTGAAATAAAGACATGACTGCTTTAAAAAAAAAAAATTCCTATATTAGTATGTATGTGGAAATACTGTAATTTAAAGTGACATTATATAATTGATTGGAAAAGAATAACTTTTAAGTTTTTAGAAATTTATTTTGGGGTCAGGAGCAGTGGCTTACGCCTATAATCCCAGCACTTTGGGAGGCTGAGGTGGGCAGATCACCTGAGGTCAGGAATTCAAGACCAGCCCGGCCAACATGGTAAAACCTGTCTCTACTAAAAATACAAAAATTAGCCCGGCATGGTGGTGGGCACCTGTAATCCCAGCTACTCGGAAGGCTGAGGCAAGAGAATCACTTAAACCTGGGAGGCTAAGGTTACAGTGAGCCAAGATTGTGCCACTGTATTCCAGCCTGGGTAACAGAGTGAGAATCCATCTCAAGAAAAAAGAAATTTACCTTGGAATTATAGAGGTTTATTCAGCACATAGTGTTTTCCAGATTCTCAAAGTGGATTTGTGCTGTTTCATTCTCAGCAATGGCTGTTGTGAACAAAGCTGAACCAACTTTCCCCTGAATGTATCAGAGAGAATCAAATTGAGCCCAGGCCTTGTTTAAGCTGGAGGAGAAGTCATTTTTATTTATAATCCTTTGAAGTTGAGTGAGTTTGGCTGGGCATGGTTACTCAGGCCTATAATCCCAACCCTTTGGGAGGTTAAGGCAGGTGGAGTGCTTGAGCTCAGGAGTTCTAGACCATCCTGGGCATCTAGACCAGATGGTGAAACCCTGTCTCTACAAAAAAAAAAAAAAAAAAAAAATAGTTGGGCACAGTGTAGTCCCAGCTACTCAGGAGGCTGAGGCAGGAGGATCACTTGAGCTCAGGAGGTTGAGACTGCAGTGAGCCGAGATCATGCTACTTTACTCTATCCTGGGCAACAGAGTGAGACCCTATCTCAAAAACAAAAAAAGAAAGAGAAAGAAATTGAATGAGTTATAGACTTCAGTTTAAAACTGTTTCTGTATTGTAAGAGCAATCAGGAAAAATAAAAATGAAAATAAACACTATTTCTGGGTAGGTTCATAGATAATATATTAATTGGAAATTCCTTAAATTTTTAAAATAATTTTATACAGAATTCTGACACTTTAAGGTATATGGTACTTGTAATCTGGAATTACCATTTAGGTTTTTGGTTTTTTTTGAGACAGAGTCTCGCTCTGTCACCCAGGCTAGAGTGCAGTGGTATGATTTTGGCTCACTGCAACCTCTGCCTCCCAGGTTCAAGCAATTCTCCTGCCTCAGCCTCCTGAGTAGCTGGGATTACAGGCACCCACCACCATGCCCCGCTAATTTTTGTATTTTTAGTAGAGGCACAGTTTCACCATGTTGGCCAGGCTGATCTTGAACTCCTGACCTCAAATGATTCACCCACCTCTGCCTCCCAACGTGCTGGGATTACAGGCGTGAGCCACCGAACCCAGCCCCATTTGGTTTAATAGTATTAACATTGTTCTTAAATATGGGGCCAAATAATATTCAAAATGTATGTATTTAGCAAGTTCATCCTATAGGATGTGTGTTAGTCTATTCTCATGCTGCTAATGACAACATACCTAAGACTGGATAATTTATAAAGGAAAGAGGTTTAATGGACTCACAGTTACACATGGCTGGGGAGGCCTCACAATCAGAAGGCAAAGAAGCAAAGGTATGTCTTACATGTCGGCAGGCAAGAGAGCATGTGTAGGGGAACTCCCATTTATAAAGCCATCAGATCTAATGAGACTTACTTACTATCATGAGAACAGCTTGGGAAAGACCTGCCCCCGTGACTCAACTACCTCCCACTGGGTCCCGACCACGACACATGGGAATTACGGGAGCTACAGTTCATGATGAGATTTGGATAGGGACACAGCCAAACCATATCAGGAGGTATTACAATTTGATGATATACTTTGGCATGTGATTAAGTATTTGGAAAGAGAAATTTTACCATTGGATGACTTAATCCTTAGCTTTGCTTTTCCCATGCAGATGGCTACATTATTCTTTTTTTTTTTTTTTTTTTTTTTTTTTTGAGGCGGAGTTTCGCTCTCGTTACCCAGGCTGGAGTGCAATGGCGCGATCTCGGCTCACCGCAACCTCCGCCTCCTGGGTTCAGGCAGTTCTCCTGCCTCAGCCTCCTGAGTAGCTGGGATTACAGGCACGTGCCACCATGCCCAGCTAATTTTTTGTATTTTTCGTAGAGACGGGGTTTCACCATGTTGACCAGGATGGTCTCGATCTCTTGACCTCGTGATCCACCCACCTCAGCCTCCCAAAGTGCTGGGATTACAGGCGTGAGCCACCGCGCCCGGCCAATGGCTACATTATTCTATACCCATTTCGCTTTTGGGGTCTTTTTTTTTTTGAGATGGAGTCTCAGTTTGTCGCCCAGGCTGGAGTGCAGTGGCACAAACTCAGCTCACTGCAACCTCTGCCTCCTGGGTTCAAGCGATTCTCCTGCTTCTGCCTCCCAAATAGCTAGGATTACAGGCGTGTGCCACCATACCCAGCTAATTTTTGTATTTTTAGTAGAGACAGGGTTTCACCATGTTGGCCAGGCTGGTCTCGAACTCCTGACCTTGTAATCCGCCCGCCTCAGCCTCCCAAAGTGCTGAGATTACAGGTGTGAGCCACCATTTCCAGGTGGGGTTTTATTTTTTCTTAATAGGTCTAATAAGGGCAGGCAGGGGTGGCTTATGCCCATAAACCCAGCACTTTGGGAGGCCAAGGCATGCGGATCACCTGAGGTCAGGAGTTCCATACCAGCCTGAACAACACAGTGAAAACTCGTTTCTACCAATAATACAAAAATTAGCTGGGCATGTTGGTGCATGCCTTTAATCCCAGCTGCCCTTGTGGCTGAGGCAAGAGAATCGATTGAATCCAGGAGGTGGAGGTTGCAGTGAGCTGAGATCCCACCATTGCTCTCCAGCCTGGATAACAAGAGGAAAACTTGGTCTCAAAAAAAATTAAAAAGCAGGTCTAAAAGAACTGGTTGCCACCAGAGAATATTTGTTCCACCATTAAGTAGATGAAGGATATCTATGCTTTTTCAAAAAAGCTGTAGTAGTGTCTCCTGATTATATCCCAGAAGGGGAAATTGGGTGT